AATCAACAGGGAAGTAAAATCTATCCACTTGGATCAAAACATCTTCCACTATTCCTCTCGACATTTTTACACTGTGATTCACCCGTTGGAGAGTAATTGATGTTAGCTTGAACTCTCCCAACCCTAATTGCTAGTATACCAAAAATCGTAGGAGGTTGACATTTGCATCCAAGTCCAACAATGTTGACTCCACTTGACAATCCCTAATTATTATGGATATGGAAAGCTAGCCTAGATCCTTGAACTTTGGTGGAGTGTTGGTCCCCAGGATAGAACTTAATTACCTACTCAATTAGAAAATCTTTCTTTTGTACATTCATTTTTCTTTTGACAGTGCATAAATCTTTCAAAAACTTTGCATGTGAGGGCCCTTTTCTTATGGCATCAAGCAATGGAATGTTGATCTTTACCTTCTTAAACAAATCAAGAATTTTCAATAGTATTAGTCATCTTAGCAGGTACTTTTAATCTCTAAGGGTAAGGTGCAGGAATAGGACACTTGTTTTTATCAATGTTGACAATGTCGGGTTAATCAAGTTTCTCACCCTTCTTAGATTCTTCCTCAGTCTCTTTTTTTCTGTAGGTTTAGAGACTTTCAGTCAAATGTTTTTGTTAATTTCTTTGCTACTTTTTAGGGTGATGATTGACTTGATTTTCTCCACATTACATTGAGTGACGTTAGAAGTTACAACACTATGTTGACCCTTCCAGTTTTCCTGGGATTGTGCTAGAAACTTATCATTTTCTTGCTGCAGCACACCTAAAGAATTGGTCAATTTGGTTAGTTGAGTTCTAATTTCACCAAAGGCTTGTGCATTTTGATTATTCATTGTTGTTTGTCGCTATATAAATTGATGCAATGTGTCCTCTAAACTTCTCTTATGAGGGGGTTGGTATGTAGGTGAATTTTGTTGACCTTGGGTGCAAAATCCTTGTAGAAGTGAGTTTGTGCAAACCCTTGTGGTTTGTGATTTTGATAATGAGAACTCATTGATGAACCCTAACCAAAAAAGTTTTGGTGCTATTGGATGCGTGGGGTATATGACATTGATGCATAAGGTGCAGCAACATTTTCATTTCTCCAACTAAAATTAGGATGGTTATGTCATCCATGGTTATATTTGTTAGAATATGGAGAAAAATGATTGCGTCAGTTGATTAAATGCATTAACCTGCTCATGCAACACTTCTTTAAAGGCTGAAGTGGTTAGGGCATCAACCTTTGGTACACTATTTACCTCATTTACTTTTTGCACTTCTAAGCTCTCTAATTTGCGGGATAAATTCACTATCTTGGCGTGCAATTCATCTTGATCACACAAAACATATTTTCCTCCCTGGTGGGTTGAGATGTAGTAGATGACCTTAATCTCTCGGCAAGATGATAAATGTCCCATGACTGGGCATTTTTTGCCAAGTTATTAAAGTAATCTAAGGCTTCTTCTAGATCTTTATTAAAAAATGTACTTAGAGTTCCTTCTATAGCAAGTAATCTTTTCTTTATTAAGCAATTTGTTTTAGACAATTATTGCATTTTTCTCTTTGATTCTGACTCTTTTCTGATTTAGGACAAAGTAACATGCCAAAAACTTTACAAAGGCCAAAGTAAGGATGGTTTGTATCCCATTCCTTGTGTCAACAACAGTTCTCTAGTTTTGGAACAAGAGTCTCTCATCAACAATGGCATAATCGATTAGGCCATCCCTTCAGTCTAGTTCTTCAGCAAATATGCTCTACGTTTCCTTTTCAGCAATCTCAACAAGCAACTGATAATCCCATTTGTGAACACTGCTTCTATGGGAAGATGTCCAAGTTGTCTTTTCCTATTTCTAAGTCATTGTTCTTACATCCTTTACAAGTTGGGCATACTAATGTTTGGGGTCCTTCCCCCTCATCCTTCCATTCACTGATTTAGGTACTATATGCCTTTCATTGATGATTGTTCTAGATTCTCTTAGATCTTTCCTTTGAAAAATAAATCAAAAGTTTTCTCTGCGTTTTGTAAATTCAAGGCATATGTAAATAATGTTTTGTATTTCAACATTAGCACCTTACATTCAAATGGAGGTGGGGAATACATTAGTCATGATTTTCAACAATTTTTATCCAACCAAGGTATTCAGCATCTCAAGTCTTGCCCGCATACCCACAACAGAATGGTGTTGCTGAAAGGAAACACATATACGTTTATCAACTGCTCTTTGGTAAAGCCCTTGATTACTCTCATCTGAAAGTTTTTGGTTGTACTTGTTATCCTCTCATTAAACCCTATAATTCTAACAGGCTTCAACCTAAGCCCAAAGAGTGTTTTTATTGGTTATCCTTCTGATTACAAAGGCTATTTTTGTTTTGATTTGCATACCAATGAACTCTATATATCTAGGCATGTCATTTTTTATGAGAATCAATTTCCTTTTTCTAATCATACCAATACCATTCCTCCTTCATTGTCTTATGATATTTGGTTCCCAGCTACTACCCCTTTTATTCTTGGTTCACCTCCCCCAGATATGCATTCTGGTACTACAAGTTCTTTACCTTTTCCAAGAGTTTCCTCAGAAATTTCTTATTTTTTACCATCCCTCATTACTCCAATTCCTAACACTCATTCAGCACCTATAGATCAATTTCCTACTGAATCTATTTCTACTGCTTTACCTTCTTCTTCAGTCTTACCAGTTGTTCCTTCTCTGAACTCTCACCCAATGAAAACCAGAAGTAAGTCAGGCATCTCAAAAAGAAAACTTTTATTCTTTTGTTCTTCTCCTATTATTGAATCTAAGTCCTACAATCAAGGTTCCAAGTCCTCATACTGGAAACTAGCTATGACAGAAGAATTCACAACTCTTTAGAATTAGCATACTTGGATTTTTGTTCCTCCACCTTTGCATCACAATGTGATTGGTTGTAAATGGGTGTACAGAATCAAACAACATCCAAATGGTTCTATTGCCAGATATAAGACAAGATTGGTAGGCAAAGGTTTTCATCAAGAGGAAGGGTTGGAATATACAAATACATTCAGTCTTGTAGTTAGACAAGCTACTGTAAAATTGGTTCTTACTCTTATTGTTCCCTTTCAATGAAAGTTACATCAACTTGAGGTGAAGAATGCTTTTCTCCATGGAATACTTAAGGAAGAGGTTTATATGACTCACCACCAAGGATTTTATTTTTTTTTTTTGGGAGGGGGATGGGGAGGGGGGAGGAGGGAGGGGGACTTGAACCCTTGACCTAAAGTCCCCATCATATCTGTCAACTAAAGAAAGCTCTCTATGGGCTTAAACAAGCTCCTAGAGCTTGGTTTGAGAGGTTTACTTCTCATCTCTTTACCTATCAGTTTGGTGCTTCTACTTTTGATTCTTCTCTTTTTGTTAGAGCCTCAGGTTCTTCTCTCACCATTCTTCTTCTGCATGTTGATGATATAATCATCACAGGGAATGATTCTTTCTATATTGCTCATCTTATTTCTCATCTTAGTCAAGCCTTTGATATGAAAGACCTTGGTCCATTACACTTCTTTTTGGGTCTTGAAATTCACTATATTTCCTCTAGTCTGTTCATTAATCAAGAGAAGTATGCTGCAGATTTGTTACAAATAGCTAATATGTCTAATTATAAACTGTACCATTCCTTATGTTGCTACTCAAAGACTCCATAGTTATGAGGGTACTCTTCTTTCTGATCCTATTCTGTACAGGAGTGTTGTTGGAGCATTGCAGTATCTTACTTTTACTAGACCTGATGTAGACTTTTGCAGTAAACTATGTGCCCTAGTTTATGAGTGCTCCTACAGACCTCCACTTTGCTGCTGTTAAAAGGACACTCAGATATATCAAGGGTAGTTCTACTCTTAGCCTCACTTTCAATCCAAGACATCTTCAGCTTTCTGCTTTCTGCGATGCAGATTGGGCTAGGGACCCCACTAATAGAAGATCTATAACTGGCTTTGTTATTTTTTCAGGTTCTAATCCTACCCATTGGGCAGCTAAGAAACAAGCCACTGTTGCCCAATCCCCTACTGAGGCTGAGTATAAGCCTTTGGCAGTTACCCCAGTTGAGCTTTCTTGGTTTAGAATGTTGCTGTGTGATTTAAAAATCTCTCTCCAAAACTCCTTTGTTAAGATGTGACAATGTTGCAACACTAGCACTCACTTCAAGTCCTTTATTCCATGCTAGAACAAAGCATATAGAAATAGACTATCAAAAAATAAGAGAGTTGGGAATGGGATAATGGAATTTTTTGACAATGGGGAGTGTGTTGGTTGAGTTATTTAACATGGAGAACCGTGCTGAGAATATTTTTTTTTTAGCGGAAAAAAATATAGGATGAATTTTATATTATTAGATCAATATAGCTGACTAAAGTGAGTAGGATTGTGCAAAAAGCCAAATAATTAGTTAAAAATTGACTTTAAGGACTTCAACCAAGTAAAAATTGCAATAGATTCACCCCTCTGGAGCTTAAGAATCTGCAGCTCTTACTTTGTTGATACGTGGTCCTCTATTTGCATCTTTCAGTTAAGACTACTTTTCAATCTTTCATTTAAGACTTTATATTGGTCATGGGGAATTTTACACCTTAAATTTGGTACTCCATTAAGTTAGATTTAAATAAGTGCTCAATTTTTTTCCCTAATCATCGAATATAGACATCATTCCATGTACAGGACATACGGCCATCTCAGTGGAGACTTGTTCTAATAACAACAAAACCACCTCATGCAAGATTAACCGTTGGAACTAACAGTTGGAAAAATCTACTCCAAACAATCAAAGCAGAAGGGAGTTCAGTGATACTTTCATACTTAAGGGGGTCCAATTAGTATTTGAATAAACTTAATGGGAGGTGGATATAATTTACCCATTATGTGTTGATCAAATCAACCAAGCCAACACCCTTCATCATCCAAATCAATACTGCTAGAAAGACAGCAATGCCATTTCTTCACTGTTATGCCAAGTGAAATCTAGCAACACTTCACAAACTTTGCAAGCTTTGCAAGAGAAACAAACACATAAATGTCATTGACCCACTAGCAGAACTGTATAACCTGAACCTGTTGATGGATTCGGTCGATGATTAATCCAGCTAGGTAGATTTTGTGATCTGTTTGCTGATGGTTCACAAGTCGGGTAAGTCCCCACCGCTAAATGAAATTATCTCTCAAAAAAGTTAGGCGCATTTCTACATTGCAGTCACAGCAATTGATTAGAGCATGCAAAACAACAACCGGCCATGCCATTCTACAAAGCGACTCCATGACATACACATTTCACATTTAAGTGAACCAAATAGATTACCTGCATCACTTTATAACAGTGCTCTTCCAAAATGCTGATGCTACTTTCCAGCAAAGATCATTAAACACAAGATTCATTGAACAAGTAAAAGATATTTGTTTTGAATATTACAATAATAATTTGAACACTGCTCCATGTACAAGCACCAAATTTGCACTTGATGGAAACAGAAAGACAGGACTTCAAGAAAGTATACTAGCCACTAACCTAATTTAACATTTAGGAGAAGCTTACCTCCTAAATCTTGAAGATGACTGCTTAGCAAAAGTTCAGCAATATAGATGCAGAAGCCTTGCCCTTATTTAGCAGGCACATTCAGCCTAACTGACATGATAAAATCATGTGAACACTGATTTATGAGAGACTATCCACAAGAACCTTTTGTTACATGTGATGCTACTACACAAAATGAAAAAAATGCGAGAGGGACTACTACACAAGAAGTAACCAAATCCCTTTAAAAGAAGCTTACCTCCTGAAACTTTGAGGTAATTACTAACAACTGAAGTTCAGGCAAACAGAAGTCTTGCCATTCTTTTAGCCGTCACATCCCTCCTAACCAATATTCCCCACGTGATGGCAGCCCGAAGCTTACACCACCTCGCTTTGGGTGTTCCACTCCTTGGGATATGGATACCAAAATCGGTAGAGACAATGTCAGCTGCCTTGTTGTATGGAGCCTGAAACAACCCATTCCCTTGCCATGTTGTTTCATCCTGAATGTTATCATCAGCAGCAACATGTCCAGTGAACACAACTGGACCCATGGAACCACTTGTACCCCAACTACATCCTCCACCATCGGGTCCACATAAAAAGTCTCTCATGGTAAAACTGTTCCTCATTGTTGAGGTGAACATTTGCATTTGATGAGAACTCTGTGCCATGGAAACTTCCAATTCATTAGCATCTTCCACTTTGTAGGCAAATGGAGATGAAGATGCCATATCATTGGAGCCCAGCTGCATTTCCTGTTGATCTGTACAACAAATAGCTTCAGCAACTTTTAAAGATACATAGGAAGGGAAAGACAGAAATTGGAAAAAAAAAAATTAATGGTGGTATAGAATGAAAACCACCCTTAATTAGCCAACACCAAGGAGTACAAAAATCAGTTTGACAAATTACTAGTCCTGTTGGATTCTTTAATGTCTTGTTGAGCATAGATGGTCGATAGTTGTTCATCACCAATAATAGGCATTGTCTTTGTTATGTCGATATTGGGGAAATAAACATCTGGTCAATCCTTGCAGAGTAACATTCCCTCAGTTCCTTTAGATGTTCCCCCTTTCAACATAGAAATCCACTCAGAGGCTCAATTAATTTATACATAGAAACAGATGTTTTATGGTAACTGTTGGGAAAATGGGAATGCATTGGTGGATATTGATTCACATAAATGCTTCCATTCCTTGACTTCTTTAGAAAAGAAAGGGGAAAGAGGAATTTATAAAGTTTTTATACCTAGTGCTAGTAGGAAATGATCATTCTGCAGACCTAAAGTAGGGCAGCCGAAAGGGTCAGCTTGTGGACTCAACACTAGGGTTGGGCAGCCAACAACTGAGGGGTCATCAATTGGAACCAAGTCATTCAAATTTTTATACGCATGCCGTTTCCAATCTTCCACCAACCGCTGCAATGGAAAAGTGAACTTGATCAGTTGCAAATCAGAAAGCGTGATTAAGGCCAGGAAAAAATGCAAACCATCAGAGAGCAAATATACATCAGGGGCAAGCTCTTGAGAAAGGGTATTCAAATTGTAGATCAAATTAAATTCCAGGATTTGCATACAAACCTTCTGAATATTATTGAGTTTATCCAAAGACTGATAATTCTGGCTATCAAAGGTTGCTCCCACAACCTTGAAGATGGAATTGAACACAAGAACAACCCTTTCTGCAGCCCTGTACATGTACAACTTGTCATCATCTACAATGCAATCAGCAGCATGTCCAATGATTGTTGTCCACGTCTTGTCTGAGACCCCACCACCAAGTATCTACAATTTTCAAAAGCACAACATTCGATGACCTCCAAAACAAAATTGTCTACTAGTTATGCTTTCTGCTCATCTAGTATTTGAAAGCTTCAACAAAAGAGAAATAAATATCGTACATTGCGAAGTAAGGACGGGTCAGTGATATGTAACCGCAGCAATTCCTTCACGGTATATATTTTATGCAAAGCCAATCGTTTATGGAATGCGCCATCTTTTGCTATCTTCTCCAACCGCCAAACATCATCACCCAAGGATGGAGGGTGGTGCTTCTTGTATGCTGAATCAACAAATTACCTATCAGTCTCAGATCTATCTATAATTATTAGCTGCTATCTATGAGTAGAAGTTACTGCAAGGTACATATATCATGGTTTTAGTACAATGTTGAGCTTCCACAGGGTTTGTTTTGTTTGGCCTTTAGGGGCAGGGGGATAGATACACAAGAGCTGCAGGGCTTTAGTTGAGTGCTTTCAAATTAGCTGGTGAAAAAGTGTGTTTATTTGATGTGGTAGCTACATACCCATAAATTCCACCTTAAACCACTTAAAATCTGGAATAACAAGAAAAGGTACAAATTTTTAAACCTCAATCACATATGAATAATTCCAGTAAGTTTCTTATAACCACTCTGCACTCTTGAATTAAGCATGCATTACAAGTGGCACCCACAGTTTATTGCCTACTCGAGCCAAATTCCCAACGTGATGCCTAAACTTGAAATTATCAGCCATGAAAGTTCACAAGAATATTAATGCATTAAGAAGATCCAATAAATGGGTACACTTTAAAGCAAAATTCCATAGAGGATGAAAAAGCTATAGCCAATTGTGTTCTAAAGGGGTTCTCATGCAAGAAACAAATAAAATGGTGCATACTATGTCAATCCTTCAATGAGTTCAATCACAATTATTTTATTCGCCAATATCTAAATAAGCCAAAGTTTAAAGGGGAAAAATAAAAATAGTAAAAAACAGGAAATAAAGAAAGCTGCGTGAAAGTTAAACTTACACTCTCCACGATGATCTTTCACTACAAAGGCTTCACTTACTGCCTCTCTAATTCTTATTTCAGTGCAAATATTTTGCACTTTTGCTCCTAACCTAAACCTTCGACTCCTTATCCAGCTCGAATTATCAGTAAAGCTGATGTCACCTATATACCCTACTCCATCTCTCAATGTAATTAGCAGGTCCCCGGTCACCAATGGCCTTTTGCCTTGTCTTTCTTTCACAATTTTGGCATTAAATGCCTTCTCTGTCCAATCTTCTTGATCATCAGAATCAAAATCACCATCAAGGACCACAAGTTGTATCTTTATCGAAGATAAGGGTCCAGATGTTATTGTGTTCTGGGAGCAAGCATCAAGTATAACTATTTTCACAGGCTCTCCATCCCCCGATACTATCCTACTGCCGGTAAAAAGTATAGAGGGCAATTTGTCGGTAAAGTGTAACTGCAAGGCCCTAACTCCAGATGACTCAATTTGATTAAGTGAGGATCTGCAAAAGAATGAAACCACTTTCACTGTTAGTAAGTGATACCAAGGAAATCTACTACAAGAAACAAAGATATATGCATACATATATATAACTTGAATAGCAAAACTTATGCCAAACACGCAATAGTAATCATGATTCATCCAGTCAAAAACAATTAGACAAGCGCGCGCACGAGAGAGAGAGGGGCACAAGAACCAACCTTGAAGATGAGAAAATTGCACATTCCAACTCCTCACGCACCTGCCAGACAGAGTGCGGATAATCAACACAAAGCATTCCAGTCCCATCCAAACTAACAGAATTAGCTCCAGGAAGCTTACAAGCACCCCCCACCAAAAATGAGGAAAAAGAAAAGGAATAGTCGTTGAAAAAACAGTTCATTATACTTTTCAACCATCTTTATAAAATATACATCCACGTTTTAATTCAATCCCTGTGGGAGTACAAAACACTTCTAGTGAACAACTAACTACTAGAATAAGTAACATCAACTCAAGCGTGGCCTTCCTCAAACAGTACAATCAAGGAAACTCAAAACAACTAGCAGTTGAACAAAGTGAAAAAGAACAAAACTAAAAGGATTGAGGAAAATCTCCATAGAAAAACTGCCAACATCCAAGGGCAGATCAAACATAATAAGCCATCAAAGAAAATTATTGATGAGCTTACAGAAATAGAATGCTCAATTAAGCTGAAGCATTCACCCAAATACAAAACAACAAATTAATACATCCAAATTTAACCAGTATGTTTCTCAACAAAAAAAACAAAGAAACATTGAAAAACAACTTAGCATCAAAGCCTAAAACTTAAACTACACCATGGTGATGATATGAGCTACAAAAGGTATGACTTCTATACGAATTAACATCCTACAAATTGATTAAACTTCACAGAATAGCATCAAAACAAAGAGCGGAGACAAAACTCCTTTTGCTTGGTACTAATAATGAATAAAGCATGACTCGAACAATAGAGAGACATATCGTACCAAGTTTCGGAGAAAAGGTTCCAACTTGGAAACTAGCTCGTGCAGTGAAGGTTCATTCATCAAATCCCTAAAAACACTGTAGAGACATCAAAAACTCACATGAGAAACTATAACAACCACCAAATGAGCCCCAAAATTCAATCATCCAAAACTACTCACTTCGAAAATGGAAAGCACCGTTTGGATTCCCTAGCTGGATGTTCAGACAGATCATCACCACCCTCACCAAAATATCGTTTCAGTACCATCAAAAACACAAAAATTGACTATCGAACAAGCTAAACCCAAGATATGCTCAGAATCAATAAGCTAGGTAACACAAAACTGCCCAACTTCCAAACTATTTAAAAGAAATCAGAATGACCTCTCTACATGAAAGTACAAGGAAGCTTAAAATTGTACCATAAACAACGCGTAAGTCATAAAAGTCAAGCATAAATTTGATCATCTACCACAACAAGAAGAACCCTTTAGCTATCATAACAAAATATATCATTTATATATAGATATATGTCGAATATATAGGTTTTTCGAATTCGCCAAGACTAGGAAGATCATTGGGCTTGTCATTTTATTAATTTAAATAAGACTGGACGACATATACCTATGAGATTCCCAGGATTCTATTCAAACTAACTGACTAAACTGAAACAACCGCGTAAAGACAGAAATGAAAGAGACTACAAAACCAGAATATATTTTTATAAAGATCCAACCTCACCAAACAATGTGGAAGAGAGAGAAACAGAAAAAAGAACGATGAAATTAACGCGTACCTGCTGAGTAGACCTGGTGAAGAGATGGGTTTTAGAAGAAGCTTGATGGAAGTTTCACAACACACACACCCCCACCCACACACACACACACACACACACACACACAAAGCGAGTAGAGAGAGACGCGTTTTTAGGTAGAGAAAAGAGACGGCGTGAAATGGACACGTAAACCCATGGGGTTTGAATTTCAACTTTTTGTTTGAATTCAATGCAAAGTTGTCGATACATATAGTGACAAAGTTATACATTAATGCATATAAAATCAAAGCACAAATCCTAGTTCATGATAAACCCTAAATTGTAACTTCCATTAACGTCACTGTGTCGCTATCAGTGTCTCTCTAACCCTTCCTCTTTAAAGGGAAAAGAGAAAGAAACATCCTCCTTCGAGAATCGTCTCCATTTAAATAAGAGAATTGTTTGTTTGAATCGAGATTGGAGAGGTCGGCACTACTGGAGACGTAGGACTAATTTCCAGCGATTACTAATTTTCCCGGGATATTTTCTTGGAAAATCTCTACTTGGAGATTCGTGGAAATTCTTCATTCCGACTCTCTTTCCTTGAAGTGCTGCCTCTGCCATCAGATATTTGTGAGCTTTAGAAAAGAAGGGAAAAAAAAATAATGATTACTTCCTTTAGGAATTCAATGGCCGATTAACTCGACGGACCCCCTCACGTTTAAAAAATTACACTGAGACCACCTTTCACTAACAGCTTGCTAATAGACCTAACAGTTGTTGCAAAAATGTCTATTTTACCCTTGATAAAATTTAGATATAACCCAAACTCAAATCCAAAATTGACTAGACCAACCCGACCCGAACGCCAAACAAACAAAATATCCCCCTTTTCCCTTTTGCCTCGGCTCTCTATGCAAGCATCATGATAGCTTGCTCTCCCTCCACACCCTGCCCCGCTGCAACACAGGGGTTGTTAAGGTAATTGGAGGCTCATAGCAAAAATACTAAATGAGGTTTTTTTTATTTTTAGTATTAATTTTTTTAAAAAATTAATTTATTTTTAATTTATTATATGAGTGATCAAATAAAGACGTGCTAGTGTTACTGAAAAAAATATTTTAACTTTTATTTTTATTTTTTATCAGAAAGAGAGTTTAATTTTAATTTTTTTTAATATTTTGTACTAATTTTTACACAGAAAAGAGTAGAGATAAAAATGAGTTGACTTTTAACTACTTTTTATTTTTTTTTAATTTATAATTTTTAGATTTCTAATGTTATGAATTGAATCATGGACTCAAATTATTACAATAAAAATATTAATTGTACTTAATATTTTGGTGGCTTTTTTTAGGGTTTAAAATTTAAATAATTTACTTTTTTTAATGGATTAGTAATGTACCTAAAAATTTGGACCTTTTAAAAATTTGGGGCTCAAAGGGCATGCTTTTTATTTAATACTGTTTAGTCGGCCTACAACCCTCTCTTCCAGAAGAGTGAACAAGAACAATTTTTACCTCTTCTGACTCTCTCAACTTGGTGATGTGGTGGTTGCAACGAATACATGGGTGGGATCTGATGGTGGCGGGGGTTCTAGGGGTCTGAGGAGGTGATTACATCTAAAGAATAACGCAGTAATTGTAGCACAGTTTTGAGGTGTCAATTTCACGGAGAGACAAATTAAAAGAATAATATGATAAACAAAGAAACTAAAGAAAAATATTAAATGATTACTGGATAACAAAAATTAATTTTAAATGCAAATCAAAGTGAAGCAAAGTGACTAACAAAAAAAATATTCAAATTTGACAAACAGTAAAGCGTTGGAAATTCCTTGCACAAATATGATATTTTAATTATTCTTAATTCATTGAATAACTCAACTAAAAACTCAATTTTCAAAATTCTCAATCGGAAGGTATAGATTTATAAATCAAGATTAAATCACATGTAACCCTTTGAAAAATCATTCACTATTTTTAAAATACGTAAATTATTATTACTATTGAGAAAATTTAACGACGACAATATACTCAATAAAACAATATTGTAATAAAGAATTAAATCAATATAGATAAATAATTAATCCAAACATAATCAAAGATCTAATCCATTTAATTGAAAAAGCATGACTAAATCCATAAACAGAATAAATTTTATGATTATTCGGAGAAAAAAATATCAACAATAAATTAAAAATAAAAAAATAAAAAAATTTTACTAATTAAAAATCAAATACATAAATTAAAAATAAATAAAATATTATCTATTGTGCAAGTTCATCCATCACCCTACCTTGAGAATACCTTAAAATTTTAGTTACTCATAAATATAATAGACAGCAAAAAATCTCCCAAAGAAATAGAGTAAATTGGTTGTCATAGGGCTTTTCTCCTCCCCGGATCTGCGTCTGCTCCCAGGCCAGATAGCCGCTGCCTTCTGTTTCATCCTGTTTTTTTTTTATCCCAGCCGCCAAAGCCCCAAAAAGATCTAAAAGTCTTGGCCTTTTGAAAAAATATTTTTTTCTCCCTTCTTTATTCGAGCCTTTCTATTTCAGCCATGTCGAAAAGAATAAAGCCCAAATCTGTTGAGTGTTAGGTCCACCACGACAGCTAGTCAGATGCAGTCTTTTTATTTTATGGGCTGAGATCAAAATAAAAATGAATATAAAAGTCGAATAATAAAGTTTAAAAAATATTACTTGTAAAGTCTATTTATAAATTATCTCTCACCACCCAATAATACAATATTTGAGATTTAAAATATTATAAAGTCATGTTCAAATATATGTCAATGTGAATAGATATTAAATTCAATAATATAAATTATATCTAATTATTTCTATTCACATTTTAATACAATAATAGGGTATTTAGAATGCACTTTCACGCATTCATCAGGTGATCTCGAGAACGTTGAATTAGAAAGGTGTGATTTCAGCGGTGGCAGTGGGTTTGTGACGAAGTTACAAACTGTTGCATGGGGTGTGGTGTGGTGGTATCTCCAATGTATTGTAGTTGAGAATTTGGGGGGGAAGTGGCTGTAATGTATGTAGTGGGTTTGGATTGTTGTGGTTTTTTTTTTTATGTGGGGTGCAGTGGTGGCTTGGGTGTTTTTAGTAGCAGATTCTAGGGTTGGGGGTGGCTACATGGTGGCAAATATAGGCGTATGGTGTTTTGATGGTGGTGGATTGGGGTGGAGTTGGGTCTAATGTGCATCTGTGTTTATCTCTCGCTCTATCCCCAAACACTTTTTGGTGGTTTTGCAGCAATGGGTATATGAGGTTTAGGGCGGAAAGATTGGATGGAGAGGAAAAGAATGGGGGTTGGTTTTATTGCAAATGCGGTAGAGGTTGAGGTTGATCAACTTGGGTGCAAGGTGGAGTCAAGACTTTTGTTTATTCCCGGCTAAGTTAAACATTCATACGACTAACAAAATACAAATATAAACTCAAAAACATATATACAATAATACACATGTAAACTCATAAACACTTACTAATGAAATTGGACTCTTCGATCCTTCCTAGAATAAAAAGCATCTATTATTGAATCTGTATCGATTGTTTCCGTTATTTCTCTTTCAATGTAGACAATTAATGAATCAGTCAAATACTTATCTTCCATCTTGTTATGAAGAGTACTTTTGATATGTTTCATGGCTGAAAATGCTCTTTTTGAAGTTGCTGTAGAAACAGGAAGAGTTAAAATAAGACGAATCAACCTATCAATTAAATTGTAGGACTCTGCTTTATTTGTTTTTACTAAACCACGACATAATTTTGAAATTGTAGACATACTTTGAGAGTTACCAAAAAATACTTTTTACTGTCGACTCAATAACTGTAACTCAAGGTCTTCAAAACATCCTCAATTACTAATTTGTTCTATAACAAATCAAGAAAATAATTAGGACAAAATGAACAAAAAAATACTTTTTTTTTTTCACTTTGGGCTTCGCCCCGCGGTAGTCCACTAATGGCTCCATCCTTGCTTGGGTGTGTTTGGGGGCACGGGGTTCAGTGATGCGGTGGTGGGGATGGTGATAAGAAAAGCAGTAGGCTATGGGTTTAGGAGTGGGTGGGCGGCTGATGTTGCAATGTGGGTAGAGCTTTGATGTGAGTGGAGAATTATATTTATTGGGTTTTCCTTGAAATTTTATCAAAAATGTTTATGGATAATTTGAAAATTTTATGTAAAATAAGATGTTGATGTCATCCAATTATGAAGGTATGTTGAACGAAGCTGACGACAAGGGGCGTTTGCATTAGGGGTGTTCAAATTTTCAATTACTGGCAATTTTTTAACTCTATCCAACCTTATCTAACTTTATTGATTGGTTAACTGGGTAGGAATACGGAATCGGATAAGAATGCAGAATGCCTATTAAATTTTTATATTCCTACCCTACTTCACCTGCATATATATATATATATACTAGTTGATGTCCACGTACATTGCACGTGTATAACTTTAAAGATGAAATATTGTATACAAAGGATCTGAGGCAATTTATCTGAACTCCAAAACTTTGGTAAATATAATGTTAGGCATAATGTTAGACAACAACAAAAAAGCCGAGTTTAATGTTAGGCATTTCTTCATTAGGCCTACTGTTGTTGAGAAAAAGAGTTGTAATTTTCAAATTAGTTAGAACCTTTTCGGACGAGACTTCACGACGACGCTTCACTATAACAACCTAAACGGCCTTCGGCCTAGGAGAGTGACATCACCCACCCCTGAAGACGGAAAACAGCATCCTTGCAACTACAAATTGATATTACTCGCTTTCCTTTGGACAAAAACCTGTCCTGACGACTAAAAATCACACTAAGTGACCATAAGAAATGGATCTCATCTTATAGACTATTTCAAAGTACAACCCAAATGCATCAAAGACATCTGTATAGTTCCAACATTTCCAATCTGCTCGAATTGTAATTTAAATACAAATCTTCATCTGTCATCTTCAAAAAAGTGTTCTAGCTTCTAACATTTCAAATATAGTTTGAAGCATTACAGAGTTCCATTGATATTACATCTCACCAAGGGGATATGGAACCCAACAGGTTCCCTAAAAAATGGCTCCCAGCAGGGAGAGGTAAGCTCAAGTTCTCTACAACCTTGAATGTTCTGGGGACCATCTTGCCAACATAGAGGATTCTTTCTAGATGGTCACATTTATACTGCAAAATGCGGGCCTGCCAACCTGAGGCATCAACTTTGATTGGTCGGCCTTCTCGATCAAAACCTGTACGCAACCTGAAACAATGCGCCATGATTAAACCTCTCGGTTATTCAATTCAATCATCTAATTTCTTTTCTATATTCACATTAAACTACTATGTGAATATGAGGAAAAAAAAATGGTTTTAACTATAGAAACCATAGACCAGATGCAAACATGTTCCTCGACTTGATTTATGCGGAGTGGCTAAACTAAAAAAAATTGCATTCAGAGATAACTAATGGCAAAATGTTACAAACTTAACCAAAAACAACATAAATACAAAATTGTAGTAGCTTATGAGCTTAATTAATGAATCTTGTAAATTGAATATAACGAAGGAATAAGTAGTCTCTGACCTGAAATTTTTTGTAGGAAGGTCTAGTACGATTGAGACAAGGACTTGATGAATTACCAAAAGATTTCGAAACCTAGCAGACCTAAAAATAAAATCATGTCATTATATCCTCTGACAACTTTTACATGCGAAGATATATAGCAACTCAACATTAAAAAGAACATATAGAAAGTAATATAGCAACCTTTTCATCCCCTTCAAATGAAGCAAAATGAAAATTCGCATGTCCTGAATAAAAATTTATGTACCAACATGTACATGGAGGATGCAAAAACTATGGCGTGTTTGAGTCAACATCCAAGAGAATTGTTGTACTCAAAGTGTTGTGAAACAAAACATTTTCATTTTTTGTACCCAAGAGGTCTACCTTGTAAGTGGTTTTCCATCCTTTTTTATGTTGCAAAATTATTCCATAAATTGACCCTTAAGTTTTTTTTTTATTAAAAAAAAAAGATTCTTTTTAGAAAAACAGTTCCTATTTTCAAAATAGCACACAATTTGGAATAAATAGTTTTTCAAAACAAAACAGTCTCTGTTTCTCTCACCTAAGATTCGCGCCTCTAATTAATCAAGAAATAAAACATAAGTGCCATAAATATACACATAATGTTTACTTGACAGCAACAAAACAAACCCAAATTCAGATCTAAGCCCATTTTTCAGCATTTATGGAAGTAAACATGACACAACATAAGCATAAAAATAGGTATTTTTACCAACATCATGCAATAGCATAGGTAAACAAAGGCAAATAAATTATTTAATGTGCACCTCACAATTTTAGTTGCAATATTTATGGTATTCTATAATTCATCCCCCAAAAAAACACATACAATTGTAATGTGAAAATATTATGTAAGGAACATAATTGGAACGAAAAACCAATGGATTCATAAATTAGTACCTCTTGAAGTGGTATCGTGGGTTTGCTCTCTGTCCGCTGAACTCATAAAGATTATACTTTCTATGATTTTTTATCCTTTATTTATTCATAGTATGTCTAATATAAAATTATCATACAAATATAGTTCGTTCGAATAGGGAGTGAAAATGTGATCAAATAACTAAAACCATCACTAAATTAGTGAAACAGTAGAGAAAAACAAACACAAAAAACAACTAACACAAAATCACAACCAGTTTGGTATTAATGTGAACTCTAGTATGCCTTATGCTTCTTGGAAACAAATTATTTGAAAAGAAACATCAATATGTCATTGTTTAACCGCAAGCGTTCAAATGCCTATCCCTTCTCAAATTCATACTTCTATATGATCACAAACAACACATTACCAATAAATAATGCGAAATAAAAGGTAAATATTTCAGATTACAAAATTTTAATTAGTGAGGATTAAAAAAACCATGTGAAGCAAAATAATACAAATGACATTGTACATTTCTTTCCCCTTTCAAAGTAGAGGTGCAATGATATAACAAAAAAATACAAGGTGTATGACATTATTCTAACCAAATGCCTATAATTTTGCAATATCGTGATGGTCCAAAACACACATTTATTAAAAACAACACACACACACACACAACAAATCGCAATCTAGAGCCAATATGGAAAACCATACTTTTTTCTATCAAAGCTTCCTAGATTAATAAGCTACTGCACAGAGTATGAAATGATTTGCTAACAAATAATTTTGAATTGACATACCATACACTAAATTAACAAAAAAATCATATTACCTTTAAAGACACCTAATTGTAGAATATATTACATTATAATATTAGCAACAAATATTTATAAATAAACCAACTAAGTAAATATTAGTTTTGAGGAGAGGAAAAGAAAGTGGCAAGTCACATAAATTGAAAAAACTTAGAAAAATCAACCAAAACAAAAGATATTCAACTAATGTTAAATGTTTTGGGTAATGGTTCATAATAAAATTTTGACATGATATGATTTATTACTAACCCTAGCTAGAACACTTTAAAAAAATGATTAATTGACTAAGCATTCTATATCAATAGCAACCAAGTCCTAAAGCCATTTATAATTAAAACGCATGAATTCCATTGCTTTATTATCTTTTAAGCATATTTGGCATGAGAGTGACTTGAACATTTTTCTAGGAAACATATTTTATTGTAATTTAGCTTTTTAATTTTTTGTTTTTATTGTTAAAAATTATGTTCAAAAATTAAAAATAAAATTTGATTTTTTGTTGCTAGATGTACTTTTTATTAAATGACAAAATTTAAAATCAGAAAAAAAGGAGAGATAAAAAGGTTATTTACCTAACTATTTATGCCATAAGATTACAACTATATGACAGACTCAAAATTTTTTTTATTTATTCTTCAATTCCATTCGTCCAATGAAAAAATATTTTTTTGAAGTGCATCTCAAGTACATCATAACCACATAATTTGAGTCAACGTAAAAATTAATTCCAATAAAATTGGTATACTCACACAAGAAATATTATTAAATCTTCCATTACTGAAGCAATCTGTATTAGTACAAATGCAATTTATCTCTCTTATAAGTATTTGAGTCTTATACCTCAATCAATACTATGGTTAGACTCTCCCCCACTTCAATAAACCTTTCTGCCAAAGTGCCTCTTTGATGTCTTAGGTAGCTTCACCTGGATTCTCCGTCACAATGGATTCTTTAGGCCTTGAGCATTCACATGATGCACTCATGAACCTTAGCATGCACACTACTGATGGGTTCGGTCTTCAACCAATCAAGCACTTTTTCTTCAGGTTTTGAGGTTGGATGAGATTTACAAGATAGTAGTCTTTGGTTTTAGGGATTTAGGGAAGTATGATCTCTACGGTTTAAAAGACAATAATTCATTTTTCAAAAGAGATACCCTAGGTTGGAAAAGGCATTCTCAATTTATAGGTTTGGAATGAGGAAAATTTTGGTGAACAAGAAAATACAAATTCGTAAATGACCGCTTGAGCAGTAGGAAGACGATTGTCAATAGAATGAAAATAAAATTTCAAACTGACCTAACAGAGTAGGACCACTCGAGCAACCCCAGAGAGCGACCTTTACTGTCCTTCGTTTAGCCTTTACTCAATATTTTGCGGAGTAATAAAGAGGCTGCTCTAGCAAAAGCTAGCGATCATAGTATGGTCTCTGTTACATCATGATGAGTGGGTTTTATACATATGAATTGAGTATTCTTGGCCTGATGAAATTATGAGTTTTCAAGTATTTTATGTTCCTTTTTATTCGTTTTGTGTGTTTTAATTTTGTTTTCTAGAGATCATGATTTGGAAGAACAAAAAGGTCATTTGGTAGCCTAAGTTTTGAATTAATTGAGGACTGAACAACAAATGCAGTTGCGCCCATGGAAAGAGATCAACGATGCAACGCTAGATGTAGAGTTGTAGCGCTATAGGTGTAGAATCTTAGTGCTACTGCATCGTTTTGCGAGGCTGTAACGCAGGATTCAGCTTGGGATACGAATTCTGACTTGTTTTTGAGTAGAAATTGAACTCTCATGCTACACACTTGTTAGGGTTTATATATATATATATATATATATATATATATACTGTTAAGGAGGGCTGCTAACATATAGTAAACCAAGGATTGATAGTGAATTGAAACCAAGGATCGAAGTAAGCAACACAAAGAAGATCGAAATTGGAGGCCAAAGAGAGAAAGAAGATTACAACACAATTTTCATTCTTTTCTCTTACTTTTAGTTTTTGATTTTCTGAGATGTTGATTAATTTGAGGATGATGTTTTTCAATTACGTTATAAACTAATTTTTTTCTTAAGATTGCAATGGAATCTGATGTTTAGTTAAATTAATTTGCTCTCGTTTTCAGTTATTATTGATCATACATAAGTTGTTATCATATTTTTTGTTTGATATATGATTGTTTGGCCAACAATTAATTTGATTCCTTAGATAAAATTGAAAGGTGAATTCTGAGGTCTATTTCTGAATATGATAACACGCATCTAGTTATTTATTCTTAGGATTGAATAGATGTGTTTGTGTATAAGATAGAAATATACCTATATGTCGTACGTAACTTTTATGAGAGTTTGAGCTTAATATAGTGATTTAATTGGGAGAGATATTTTTATCTAACCATCGGAAGAGGTTTAATAAATTATTTTAAATTCTTAGTTAACAACTTATTTTGATTAATTAATTGGAAGGAGAGTGAAAAGATTTATACGAGGCATTAGAGGAAGTTATAATTTTAAGTTCTTTTATCTTTTGGAATCAATCCTTGTTTAGTAGTTTTAGATTTAGTTTCAAATTAGTAATTTCATAGTTTAATTTCAAATGTTCAAATAAAATCGAATTGATATAAAGTTAGTACTTGAAAATTTTTAGCAATAATTCTCTCTGGGAATGAAATTTTAGTTATCACTTTATTACTTCTTGATTGTGTATACTTGCACGTAAATTGCTAATATCAAAGTTGGACAACAAGTTTTTGGTGTCGTTGCCGGGGAACTTACTCTAGTAATTATTTCAATCAATTTGACCTTAGTTTAAACATATTTAATTTTTTTTTAATTACTTTCATAGGTGTTCTTGAATTTTGTATGCAAACACGACCTACAGGTTAGGAACCACTACCGTACGAAATCGAAATCGAAAGAAGGTTTCGAAACTTACGAAAGCATTGTCAAGAAGTACACAATCAAGAAACTATGGCAAAAAATGAGCATAAATAGCTAAGGGATTATGCTGTGCCACTTGTTACGAAAATACAATCGAGCATTTAAAGGCCTGCGATTCAAGCAAACAGTTTTGAGATCAAGGTGGGTACCATCCAAATGATTCAGAATTCAGTGCAGTTTGGGGGTTTGCCAAACAATGACCCAAATGATCATTTGATGAGTTTTCTGGAGATTTGTGACATGTTCAAATACAACGAGGTTACCAAAGATGCGATTAGACTCCGACTTTTTCCTTTCACACTTCATGATAAGGCAAAGAGTTGGTTATATTCATTGCCATCGGGTTCTATTACTATATGGACAGATTTATCTAAAAAAATCTTAGCTAAATTCTTTTTGCCAGCCAAAATTGCGAGGATGAGGAATGACATCACTTCATTCGCACAACATGATTTTGAAACTCTTTATTAAGATTGGGAGCAATTTCAAGATTTACTCTGGAATTGCCCTCAACATGGCATTTTTAAGTGGTTGCAAGTTCAAAAGTTCTACAACGGATTGTTTAGTGCTAATCAGACTAGTATCGATGCAACTGTAGGTGGAGCATTGATGGAGAAAAATTTTGATGAAACCTACGAGTTATTGGAGACGATAGTTGCCAACAATTATTAGTGGCCCTCTACAAGGATCAATCAACCAAAGGTAGCGGAGATTTATGAAGTCGATGCAGTTACTGCATTGGCTACATAGGGTGCTACATTGACAAAGAAGATTGATTCTTTAGGAGTGTAACCTATTCAAAGTGTGGCAGTTATTTGTGAATTGTGTGTAGGAAACCATCTGAGTGATCAATGTGCAATTAGTTCAGAGTTGGTACAATACATTGATAGCCACAACATGCAGCAATATAGCAACAATTTCAACATTTATAACCTTGGTTGGAGGAATCATACGAATTTTTCTTGAAATAATAATCAAGCCCAACCTTCTACTCTAAGAAAATCATACCCACCAGACTTTCAAAATCAAGCTCCACCACAGCAGGAAAAGAAATCGAATTTGGAGGAGCTGTTTTCTAGGTATATAGTGATTAACCCTAATTAAGGCATAATTTAATTAAGTTAATAGGTAAATTGTGTTAGTTAAATAAAATTAAACTAGTCAAAATAAATCAAATTAGGGTTTGTGTGTGAATTAAGGATAATGAATTGATTGTTGTTCTTTTCAGAATTTTGTGTGTCAAAGCTACAAACTACTGGGAAGCCAATTATCAAAGCTGCAAACTATACAGTGCCAATTGTCAAAACTGTAAACTATACGGTACCAATTATCAAAGTTCAAAACAAAAGGAGAGCAATGTGTAATTCATAACTGTCAAACAAGACTTTCATCCTCCCTTGTTTCCTATAAATACCACCTCTTAGGACTTGTAAAACATTCATCTTTTGGTAGTGAAAAACCCTCCAAAAGTATTGCTTTCTTTATTGCTTATTGCTTTCTTTAAGTATTTCTTTCTTTTATTGTATTATTGCTTTCTTTTAATTTATTGCTTCCTTTACTTTAAGTATTGCTTTCCTTTATTGTATTATTACTTTCTTTTATTGTATTATTACTTTCTTTTACTTCCATTGTTGAGGTTCCTTTTTCCCTTAGAGGAGTGAAACTCTTCCACTTTTCTAGAGCTTACCAAATTCGTGAAGGGTGGAACGTGATTCACTCATTCTTTGTCGAAGATCGTCTCCTTGTGTAAAGTGTTTTACCTTGTAACTCCTCTATTTGGAGGGATGAGCATCACTCATTTTTCTAGTTTTACCAAAGTCATGAAGAGTGAGTAGTTTCTCATCTATTCTTTAGTAAGAGGTGAAGGAAATATATAATTATTCGGAAGTTATATTTGTGCATTTTGTTTATCTTTAGCTTCAATCTTCATTACTTTATAATGTCTTCTCAATATATTATTGTCTTTACTTTAAGCATGAGTAGCTAAGTCTTTAAGTTGGCTAATCCAAGGGAGACCTCCTCTTGGGTATGCCATTTCAACCCATCTTTTTTTCTCCCCTCGGTGTACGATGGTTTGGTTTGACTGGATTGATTGAGGACATGGTGTGAGTCTTTGATATCCCGTAGACTTGTCACGGGTTATGCTTGGATCCTCACTTTCATCTCGTCCCTCACTTCCTATGAATCAACCGTTCATCTATGCACCAATGGAGGAAGGTTTCGAAGTGACTTGACATTTCCATTGGAGTAAACCCTTCGGATTAGCCAACACTTGTTACCCATTTCAATTTCATCATACACCAACTTCAAACTATAAAAGATTTTACACTTTCTTTTCACCGAAATCACTTTCAAAAAGATTCACATCCTTCCCCAAGGAGATAACCTTGAAATACTTTTTCAAGTAAAACACGACAATCAAAAGACTCCTTGCGCTTGGGGAGCACTTTTGTTCACATGTATACACATTTTGTACATTTTATAGTCCACCATTCCTTTACCCTTTCTTTTGACATCATCCCAAGGGAGAATTACACTCCCCCTCACACACCCCATACATACGTTGAGGGAGATATTAAGAGGTTAGGAACAACACAGAAATAATTCAAGCACATAGCACAAAATGAGATAAGGATGAACAGTCAGGAAGTATCAATCCAAAACTTGGAAAATCAAATGGGTCAGCTTGCTAATGCAATTAACAACCGACCTCAAGGCACTCTACCTAGCGATACTGAGTTTAATCCTAAGAGAGAAGTTAAGGAGCACTGCAAGGCTATTACATTACGTAGCGAAAAAGAGTTACCTGAAGTTGTTGGTGGAACTCCAAAACAATCACATGGAGATGATAGTGAGGGTGAAAAAAAAATAGCAAGAATGTGGAATATGAAAAGAAGAAAGAAGATCCAGTTGTAAGTTCTAATGGAGGCAATCCGAGACCTATTATGCCTCCCATTCCGTTTCCACAACGTTTGCAAAAATAGAAATTGGATAAGCAGTTCACTAAATTCTTGGAAGTGTTTAATAAGCTCCAAATAAATATCCCTTTCGGCGATACATTGGAGCAGATGCCTAGCTACGTGAAATTTATAAAGAAAATTCTGTCAAAGAAGAGAAAATTAAGCAATTTTGAGATAGTAGCACTTATGGAGAAGTGCAGTGCTATTCTTCAAAAGAAGCTTCCACCAAAGCTCAAAGATCTGGACAACTTTACAATTCCATGCACAATAGGCAGTCAATTTTTTGGGAGAGCATTGTGTGATTTGGGAGCTAGTATGAATTTGATGCCACTCTCAATCTACCAGCAATTGGGTTTGAAAGAAGCGAAGCCTACTAATGTCACGTTGCAACTTGCAGATAGATCACTCACTTATCCAAGGGGCATAGTTGAGGATATTCTAGTTAAAGTGGATAAGTTCATTTTTTTCAATTGATTTCGTGGTATTAGATGTTGAGGAAGATAGAGAAATATCTATTATTCTTAAGCGATCATTCTTAGCAATGGGTAAAACACTCATTGATGAACAGAAAGGTGAGCTAACTATGCGAGTCCAAGATCAAGATGTTACATTCAATGTATTTTCAGCTATGAAATTTTCAAAGGAAGTTGAAGAGTGTTTTGGGTTTGATTTGTATGAAGAGGCAGTGAATGAGGTATTTGTAGGAAGCTGTATTTCACATCCTCTTGAGACATCACTTGTTTGTCCCACTACTTTGAACTTTCTTGCTTCTCTAGAGTATGTGCAGTTGTTGAATGCTTTTTTGTGGTTTGTCAAGTTCAAGCAACAACTTGAGACTTTGGATCATTCAGGAAGCTCTGCTACTCGTGCAAAGTCATCTTTGGAAGAACCAACTTTATTGGAGCTTAAACCTCTTCCAAAGCATTTGCGGTATGCATATTTGGGTGATTCTTGTACTTTGTCTATTATTGTTTCTACTTCACTCTGACGAATTTCAAGAAAGTAAGTTGTTGTGAGTCCTTCGTGAGTACAAAATGGCTTTAGGATGGACTATTGACAATATTGAGGGAATCAGTCCCTCAATTTGTATGCATAAAATCCTTCTTGAAGATGACGCTAAGCCCTTGATTGAGCAACAACGCCGATTAAATCCTACCATGAAGGAGGTGGTCAAGAAGGAAATCATTAAGTGGTTGGATGCTGGAACCATTTACCCCATCTCTGATAGTTCATGGGTAAGTCTAGTTCAATGAGTTTCGAAGAAAGGAGGCATGACGATAGTTCCAAATGAGAACAACAAGTTACTTCCAAAACGGACAGTGACTGGGTGGCGAGTATGTATATATTATCGCAAACTCAATAAAACAACTCGCAAAGGTTACTTTCCTCTACCGTTCATTGATTAGATGCTTGATAGGTTGGCTGGGCACGAATTTTATTGTCTCTTGGATGGTTATTCCGGCTATAATCAAATTACAATAGCACTCGAAGATCAGAAAAAGACTACGTTCACTTGCCCATATGAAACCTTTGCATTCCAGAGGATGTCTTTTGGATTATGCAATGCACTTGCAACATTATGGCATTATTCTCCGACATGGTCAAGCAAAATCATCTTACGGTATTTATGGATGATTTTTTTGATATTCAGAGAGAGTTTTGACCTATGTTTACAGAATCTAATTCTTATGCGAAAAAGATGTGTGGAAAAAAATTTGGTGTTAAATTAAGAAAAGTGTCACTTTATGGTTCAAGAAGACATTATTTTGAGGCACAAGTTTTTGCTAATCGGATAGAGGTGAAAAAGGCAAAAATAGAGACTATTGAAAATCTACCACCACCAACATCCGTCAAGGGAATTTAGAGTTTTTTGGGCCATGCAGGATTTTATTGGCGATTCATCAAGGACTTATCCAAGATCACAAAGCCTCTTTGCAATATTTTAGAGAAAGACGTGCCCTTCAATTTTGATAATGCATGCCTAGAGGCCTTTGAGGTGTTGGAAAGAAGCTCATAACTGCCCCCGTGATAGTTGCACCAAATTTGGATTTGCCCTTTGAGCTAATATGCGACGCTAGAAACTTTGCGATTGGCGTGATCTTAGGCCAACGTAAAGAAAAAGTGTTTCATGCCATCTATTACACTAGCAAAACATTATCAAAATAAAAAAATAGTCTGCTGTACAATTTGTACCAGTTCGTAAGAGGGGTAGAGAGTGATGTACGGTACAAACATCTTTGTATCGGTTCATCGAGGTTTGACTTTTTTGGTCTTTTAAAAAAGGGTGACTGATAGTTTTTGACTCACTTTTCTTCAAAAATCAAACACAATTTCTCTCTCAAACTCTCCCCAAGCTTCCGAAAAATTCAAACCATACCTTTGATCTCTCAATCATCTTCCCAAATCATTCCATTCACTTCCATCGCTACCTTACCAAACCCTAGGCATTCTAACAATGGTGGCAAGGAAGCTCATCGAATCCACCACCAATGATTCATTTTCTTGGGTGTGGATATTAGTTTGTTCTTTGATTGTTATGGGTATGCTATTGGTAGACATGGACAAGACCCAAGGGTCTTTGGTTTCAGCTTCGAGGCCAAGGGCTACTAGGAAAGAGAAAGGGAAGGGAAAGTCCACCTTGAGTGGAGGGGAGGAGGAGCTCAAGGTGAGGAAGAATCATAGGCTCATATATGAGTCTACCATTGTTGCGAAAAGAGTGACATGTGAGAGGATGATTGATAGGCTAAGTTTGGGAAAGAGTACCCTGATGCGGCAGATTGGGGCGAGAGGATTAGAATTTTTCTTTGAGCTGACTAGTGTGTATATCTAGAACTTGTGCCATGAGTTTTATTCAAGGTTGAAGATGGTAAATAGTTTCTTGATGATCTTGAAGACCATAGTGTGAGACCGTATTACGAAGGTTACACCCAATAGTATAGCTGCGTACTTCGGATACATTAGGCCTGACCTTGAGAATATTAACTACCATTACCCCAAGTTTTTGGATAAGAGCCTTGGGGAATATGTAGAGATCATATATGAGGAGGTTGATCAGTTCACGAGGGTGTTTGTTCAGGAACGCTCGAGTGCAAACTATAGGACTTTGAAGAGCTAAAATTTTCTAAACACACACAATCCACCAAAATTTTCTTCCTCTTACATCCTCAACATCTCAAATTATGAGTTGTACCTTTGGAGACAGGATATCTTGACCATTGCAGTTCTTCCATGTGAAACCACAAGATTATCCCATGTCTCCTTTGAAGTCTTGCAATTTGTGATCCTTTTGAACTCGTTCGGTGTCATGTTATTGAATATCACATTCAAGCCTTTTGAGTTCCACCCCACCGAATCAATCTCAATTCTTGACAAAGTTGTTGGGGATTTCCACCGTTTCACCACCTTAAACTTGAGTCGTGGTGGTGGGAGGGCTCTGACCCTCTTGCACGGTTAACCATACTCTCTCATCAGTTGATTTTAGAAACGTTCTTATGCGAAGTTTCCAATAAGAAAAGTTTGAACCACCTTCCTTTTAAGACTCTATTGAAGACAAATTAGTAGTAACAAAGGATCTCTTGAAGGCAAACCTAGGCAAGTAAGAAATAAAAAGATATGCCTACTTATTGTCTATAATCTTTGGGCAACCACGCTCTAATACCAATTGTTGTATCGAGAGGGGGAACCCGATGTGGATCTTCTCTCACGATTGTAAATGTGAAGCTTGAGATACTATACCTAGAGGGAGGGTGAATACGTTTTTCAATTTTTTCCCGAATTGATTACCAATTAAAAACCTATATCTATCACAATTACTTCCTCTCAATTGAATGCAAAATTTAATGATGAGAACCCCTTTAATCACTACATGCCAATTGTCCCATGACAATTGATTTAATTTATCTTGAATTAATCCACTCACAATCAATCTCATGGCGATACCAAATTCTCAAACCCAATGCACAACTATGTATGGATAGATATTCAATCAATCATTCCAACAAACACATAGTGGGCGTGTGTGCTAACAAATACATGTGTATATGACAAACAATAAAGAACACAAGCAATTTGTTGAAATGGAAAACCCTCATCGAGAAACCTCCTTAGTTCATCAAAGCTTAATCCATTTCTTGCCAAGTTAACATACAAGCACTCGAGACCTATATCTCAATCAATATCATGTTTAGATGCTCATTTCCTTACTATGTCTCTCTACCGAAAGTCCCTCTTCGACGTCTAGTATAGCTTCACTTAGACCTCCCGCCGCATGGTTCTTCTAGGCCTCAAGTAATCATGGGCACACCAATGATCATTGGTATTCACACACCAATGGATTTATCAAACCATTGAGATTTTCAACTCCAATTTGTGAGGTTGGGTAGAATCTCTAGTGGTAGCACTTGGATCATAAAGATCTAAGTTGTAGCAAATCTCTCAAAGTAGAAATATCATTTTCATTCTTGAAAATCTCACTAGAGGCTTAACCTAGGTGTGGAAAAGGCTCTCCCAATTTATAGGTCCGAAAAAAGGGTAGTCTTAGTAAATAAGAAAACTCAGATTCATGAACGACCGCTCGATCGGTGGGAGGGCGGTTGTCACTAGAATGAAACTAATATTTCAAACATGATGCACCACTCGAGTGACCATGAGACTGCTTGAGCGAGCCCAATGTTGTCTTTTGTGGCCATTTCCCATTTCTTTCCCTAGTTCATAAAGAGATTGCTCGGTTTTGAAGCACAAAACCATGCAAAAAGTTGTCCTCTTGAACACTAAAGGGTGTTGCTAAAAGAAGGGTCTATTTTCAAAACTCATAAATGGTTTAGAAAATCTTTTCTTTTAAAATCAATTAGGAATTATAATTGGATTACTTCAAATTCCATTTTATTCATAATCAATCTAAGTTAAAATTAACTAAGGGTTCATCTTAGGTGTCTAGGTCATTACCTTCGAAGTATGAAGGTGCAAATGTAGGTTGAATGATGTTGCTTTGACACTTGAACTCCTCTTTTTAGCGACACTTTTAGATCTTGAACTTGATAGCATCATGACTATGGAATAGGTTGATATTTTACAATGGACTCCACAAAATTAACCAATTATAAATATGATCTAACAATCACACCCTTTGACAATCTTGTGACAAAACACGGAAGTTAGAAATTAGATTACAACTCAAAACCATTGAACAAAAGAATTATAAACTAATCTCAACTCTCATGCATACATCCTAAACCTCTATCTAGTATAAGGATATACTTCTTTTAATGAAGCTTGAAGATCATAGTCCTACACATCACCACTCAAACCAAAATCTCATGAAAAACATCATATGTTAGAGAAATTTATAAAATAATCATAGTTTTAGAAAGCATAAGATAAACCTAGGGCATAAGTATGTATACATAATGCAAGTGCAAATATGTAAGAAGTTAGAAACTAACTTGTCCAATATGATTGAGAACCTATTGATTTATCAATATGAAACACAGTAAGTTCTTCCCCTTAGGTTGTGTTCACAAGTAAAATAACAACTAAAAATTAAACAAAGAAAAATAGGTAACTTCATGCAAAGTTTGCAAAATTTCCCCCCCTAAGTATTTGAACAAACTCCCCCTTCCTATATTCACATGCAACATATCTAGTCTAATCAAGAATAAATCTCCCTAATTTCTCTCACATGTAACTAAAATATTCTCCCCCCTTTTTCACAAAATGTCAATCCAATGATGATCCATGGCAATAAAGGTACATAATCAAGTTATCTAAAATATTCTTATCTTATTTGCTACAAATGTCAATTCAATGAAGACCTATAACAATCATGACATAGAATTTTAGTATAACAAGAAGGTATGAATGCATAATAACTATCCAAATCATGCAAGTAAACTAAGTAGAGACAAACAAGGCATATAACTCAAGGTCAAAATATGATTAAGCATTAATAAGCAGGACCAAGAGTACCTCATAACAACAAAAATAAGAGCTAAACAAATAAAAGTTAACAAAAATGAAAAGTCAATAGTAAAAATATAGAATAATTTAGTACAAGCCATGAATAAATGTAAGACCCTCTCAAGCTCACAAATGGTTGCATATTCATCTCCACCAACTCCTCTAGGTGTCTCGGGCCCATCATCTAAAATAAAGCCAGAATTTTGAATCATGTGCCTGAGACGTCTAAAATTCCTCCTAATCTCCCGCTTATCCATCCGTAGGCTCATCATACCCTCATCAATAACATGCATACGGAGAGCAAAAAGGCTATGCTACTAATCAATACTCCTCTGTAGCTATCCTAGCGCTAACTAAATAGCAGTCCACTGATCTAATGCAGCTGCAGGAGGTGTCCTAGGGAGTGTGGTATGTGAGGTATTCTTCGTGTCTGCCTCAACAGTGGTGCATGACTAGATTTTCCAGGCTTTATAGAAGTATACGCATAGGGACTAATTCATTCTCTTGATTTTTTATTATAGTGATACTAGACTATTTAGGGACTACTTTTGTAGGACTAACTCATTTATTATTAGATATAGGATAAATAATATTTGCATTCAATAGTTTAAGTACTTCATTGCGAGCTGCCTCTTTCAGATGTGGATTCAGTCTTCTTTGCATCTGACGCGATGATTTAACATTTTCTTCTAAATATATATAATGAGTACATAGAAGTGGGCTTATACCTTTTATATCTGTTATTGTTTATCCAATAACATTTTGGTGATCTTTCAATACTTTTGTTAATTCTTTACTTTCAGATAAATTCGATGATATGATTACGAGATGAATTTCATTTTTTTCTAAAAAAATATATTTCAAATTAGTTGGAAGTGGTTTTAAATTTGGCTTAAAAAATTTGATGTTGGATTCTATAGATTTAGGTAACATATTTTCACGTTTTAGATTTTCTATATTTTTAGATTCATTATCAGATACAAAATCTAATGTATATAATTCTTTTTTTAGAAAAATCTCTTCAAAAAAAGTTTGAGTTAACGACTCAACACAATTTATTTCATGCATATCATTTTCTTCTCTAGGTTATTTTGCAATGTTAAAAATATTTAATTCCAAGTTCTTGTTGCCAAATGAAAGTTTCATAACTCCATTTCTACAATTTGTCAACACATTTGATGTAACTAGGAATGGTCGACCTAAACTAGCAAGTATGTGTGTAGATGCATGAAAAATTGGTTGTGTATCTAAAGCGATAAAATCTACTGGGAAATAAAATTGATCAATTTGGATAATAACATCTTCCTCAATCCCTCTTGAAGTTTTTATTGATCGGTTTGCTAATTGTAGTGTAACATTGGTAGGTTTTAACTCAATTAATCCTAATTGTGTATACACCGAATATGACATTAAATTGCAACTTGCTCCAAGGTCTAGCAGAGCTTGTTCAATTCAACAATTTTCAATGATACATGAGACTTTAGGACTACCTAGATCTTTGTACTTAAGAAGAGTGTTATGTTGTATTATATTACTAACTTACTCAGTTAAAAATGCTTTCTTTGGTACATTTATTTTTCTTTTTATCGTGCAAAGATCTTTTAAAAACTTAGCATAAGCTGGAACTCATTTAATTGCATCCAACAAAGGGAAGTTAACCTTAACTTGTTTAAACAGTTCAAAGGTTTCAGCTTGATCTTTTTTAGATGAAGGTTTCTTGACCTTTTGAGGAAAAGGTAAAGGAATAGGACATGAATGATCTTCCTCATTTTGTATTTCTGGTTATTTTTCGATTGAAGGTTTAGGTTCAAGTAGTTCATTAACAGGAATTGACTTGCGTATTTTCTTGGAAATTTTAGGTTTAATAGTTTTGTCAATCACCTTACCACTCCTTACTATTGTGATTGCTTGTACTTGATTTGGAGACAATTCAGATAACACAAAATTAGCTAGACTCTGACTTTGTGGAGGTTTAAGTTGAGATGAAAAATTTTCTTTTGTTGTCATACTTAGAGACTAAGTCAAGTTTGCTAGATGACTCTTAATATCTTCAATACTCTGAGAAGTTTGAGCTTTATAATCATTAAAATCTTGAGTTGTTTGAGTATTAAAACTAACTTGACTTTGAATAAATTGACTCATAGTATCTTCCAGA